TAGCATTTCACCCCTGCTGGAAGGGACTTTGGAGGTCTTCTAGTCCAAACCTTTGCCCAAGTTGGAGTCCTCATACCATCTCAGACAAATGGTTGTCCAATCTTTTCTTGAAAACCTCCAGCGACTGAGTACCCCAATATCCAGAGGCAAATTGTTCCATTGCTTAATAGTTCTTACTATAAGGAAATTCCTCATTTCCATATCAGATCTCCCTCCATCCTTCTTCAACTCCTCCAACTTTTAAGTAATGAGCATGCTCCTTATGGTCTCTCATCAGCCCCAATTTTTAGAACCCTACTCCCTCTGGAATTCCAGATCCATTCTTTTTAAATCTCTCTAGGTAGCTGCTTTGCAATATTTGCTTCATTTCAGATGATTCAGTGATTCCTCATGGAAAGACTAGTCTCTGCTTCAACAATCTCCAAATCTGATATATTGATAGACCAAGAGGTCTTCCAACTTAACATTAGCATAGAGGAAAACTCTGTCCCTTAACATTAACTTAGCTTACCTATCAAACCCAAAAATTAAAACTAAAAAATAGTTTAGTTTAGCAAATCCCAACATCCCCCAATTTAAAAGATGTAGAGAAAGAAGTGAGGGGGGAAAAAGAAGGGAAAAAAAGTTGTTTATGACCCGAGCATAAACACAATGTCCTTTAAAAACTAAGCTTAATTTTTAGTACATCTCTCCATGCATTTCATACCACCGTGTTATGGCAAAGTAAGCCTATACAAGTAATCCTCAACTTACAACAGTTCATTTAGCGACTGTTCAAAGTTACAACAGCTCTGAAAAATGTGACTTGTGACCATTTTTCATAGTTACAACTGATGATCCCCATGATCATGTGATCAAAATTCAGATGCATGGCAACTGGTTCATACTTATGACCTTTGCGGTCGTCCCGGAGTCATGTGATCCACTTTTGCGACCTTAGGTTGCTAATTTATCAACTGCAGTGACTCACTTATGTGGCACGAAAAGTCGTAAAATGGGGCAAAACTCACTTAACAAATGGATCACTTAACAGAAATTTTGGGCTCAATTGTGATCGTAAGTCAAGGACTAACTTGTAGGGTGAATTACTGGTCTCAAACCTACTATCCTAGAAGCCCTCTGCATCACTGATGGGTTTCAAAAATTTTTACTACCGGTTCTGTGGGTGTGGCTTGGTGGGCGTGGCTTGGTAGGCGTGGCAGGGAAAGGATACTGTAAAATCTCCATTCCCTCCCCAGTCCAGGGGAAGGTTACTGCAAAATCCCCATTTCCTCCCGATCAGCTGGGACTTGGGAGACAGAGAATAGATGGGGGTGGGGCCAATCGGAATTTTTACTACCGGTTCTCCGAAGTACTCAAAATTTCTGCTATCTGTTCTCCAGAACTGGTCAGAACCTGCTGAAACCCACCTCTGCTCTGCATCTATACACCCTAGCTCTGCCTCTTGCTTTGGTGATAGTGCTATCATTACCTTCAGTATCTTCCAGAGCAGCTCCTCACTTTTCATTCTTCCCCTAATGTAGGAGTGCATGAGAAAAAGATGACTCTTGCAACCTTTGTTGCTTTAATGGCAAATAAAAAGGAAAACTAAATAAAACAAAGTCAATAGCACCACATACTGGTCTTCTAGTGTTATGGCTAGAAGAATCAATCTTTTTTTTTTTCTGTCTCTCCTTCAGAAAACAGACCAATCTCACAAGAGAGAAATAAAAAAAAATTTGATTAAAAAGAAAAGCAAATGTAAAAAATCCCCTTTTAGCTTTATATGTATGCAAAAATATTTGGTAACAAACGAGATAAAAATATAGAGCTGTTCAAACCTCAGCAACTGTAAAGAATAAGCCCTCTAAAAGAAAACTGAGAAGGAAAATATAAGGCTTTAGGCAGAACATAAAATCGATCTGCTCCTAATTTAGAAGTAGCTCCACTATAAAGCAATTGCAAATTGCATAAAACCCACAAATTACTGGTTTTACACAAAGAACATCAATACAAGAGACAAAACATTAGACTTTAATACTGTTAAACAGGGTAACAAAAATTAAACTTAATGCGCAATTCCAACTAGACTTGTTATCTATTTCTTAGGATCGTCTAATGATGCTTGAGGCTAGAGTCCACTGCCTGGACCTTATCCAGATTTTTGTGGGTTTTCCTTTTAACAGTTGCTTAGGAAGATGCTACTTTTCTTCTTTTCCTAGCCTACTTACTCAGCTTCTATTGTTTCAAAAGATAATAGTTTTCCTCTATGGCAGAAAGGAGATCTCCTTGCATATCTAACCTCCAGCCTTGTCTCATTCTGGATGACCCTGCTAGACAGGGGAATGGCTATTTCCTTCTAGTTAACAGGTTATTGTTCTTATGAAAGCCAGGTGGTATTGCAACAGCTGTGATTATGATTTGTTGACTACTAACTCAAATAGGTAACTTCACTGAAAAAGTTCAACTGTCATCTATAGTTTACAAGCCACAATAGTTTAGTCCATACAACCATATACACGGTGAAGCAGTGGTTAGAGTGCAGTACTGCAGGCTACTTCTTCTACCTGCCAGCTGCCTGCAATTTGGCAGTTCAAATCTCACCAGGCTCAAGGTTGACTCAGCCTTCCATCCTTCTGAGGTTGGTAAAATGAGGACCCAGGTTGTTGGGGGCATGAGGCTGACTCTGTAAACCGCTTAGTGGGCTGTAAAGCACCTTAAAGCAGTATATAAGTCTAAGTGCTATCGCTATTGAAAGCAAGCAAGACGCATTATGGGTTAGCTGTGAATCTGATTGGTAGGTTAAGATGGTGGAGTGGATGAGCAAAGAAGTTTTAAAACTTGGCAAAGCAGCAGTTGATTTAGTACTTGGGTTGCCTTTGGCCAAAGATTCATAAACATTATAATCCTGCTGACCCCTAAAATGACTTTGTGCGATACTTCACACAAATAAAACCAAGTACAGGTAGTCCTTGAATTATGACCATAATGGAGCCTGCCTATGACAATCATAAATCATGATGATTGGAAAATGGGTCTTCATGTGACCAGATCAGTTTTTACAATCTTTTTGCAATGTTCATGAAGTGAGTGTGGTAGTCATAAACACATCAGGACTAGATTCAACAGTCCATCTGCATTTAAAGGACACAGGCCACTCTTTTGAAGTCCATATTTTGGATAGAGAAGAAGCTGATTTGAAAGAGGAGTGAAAGAGGCCATCTATGTCAACATTCAATGGAGGGATATCCCTCCCTCTCTCAACAGAGGGGGAGGGATAAGACATTTTCTATCTCCAGTCTACAACACAGGTCTTTCAACAGTTCCAAGAAGGCTCCACACCCATTTGCACCACTCAGGTGACCCTGATGACACAGATAAGCCTCCAGGTGGCCTTAACAACATGCTAAAAGAAGGCAAATGTCCAGCTGTCTGCAAGGAGTATAAATCCTTCCATTCCCCTCTATCCAGTTAGAGCTGAAGAAGCTTCTTGCATGAGAAACAAAACATCTTCAAAGAAAAACCAGAAAGTCCAGTTGCCTCTTGAAAAAAGCACCTTTGGGACAACCATGACCTGGATGACTGAGAATCTCCATAGACACTGGTAGTCATAAAGTAAATGCAACCATTGTAAAGCGAATGCAGTGATCATTAAGTGAACCAACCGTTTGCTATGGGGATTTTTTGTTGAAAATTGGAAGTAACTGCTGGTTTTCAGCAAAAACATCATAAGGGATGGTCATATGACCATGGGACATGACAAATTACCAAAAATGTTGCCGAGTGCCTGACGTACAGTCATGTGATCAGGGGGTGGACGACAACAGAACTGGATTGCAAGTACCTCCTGGGAGGTCCATCAGAACTTCAAATGGTTGCTAAGGTCATAAATCAAGGACTACCTGTAATAGGTTTTAGTGGTTTATTGCTGTGGATTTGGGGGCTTCCTCAGGAACTACTGTATGTATTTCAGTTTTGTTTGTGTTTTACTGTTTCTCTCTTGCTTTTTGTTGCATAGAGTCAAACATCAAGGGGTGGTTATACAAATTGAATGGATGAATTGAAACCGCTCTATAGTGGACTTGGTTTTCTCCATGAAATTTTAAGGCACCAAATGTTCCTCTCAAAATCATATAGGTACCAAATATTTGCTAAAGTGGTACACTAAGAACCATCATCACATGGTCATCCTGTCAATGACTATAGGTAAAGCTCATCAGCCTCTATTCTCCTTCCAGGAATTAAAATGTAGCAAATTCTTAAACTTTCTTACTGTTCAGCAGTGGGATGCATTCATATGTATGTGCGTTTGCAGTTATGGAAGCTTTATTTATTTATTAAATTTATATGCAGCCCCCCCCCCTTACTATTGAGGTGTCATTTACTATTGAGCAGCTAGTACTCCTTTTTCAAATTAGTCCTGTGAAATTTTATAGGTAGTCCTCAATTTACAATTGTAATTGAGGCCCAGGTTATGGTCATAAATGCCCGTCGTTAATTAGGTTCCCACACATGACTGCACCTGATTTTAAAACTTTTTTCGAGGCAGTCATTAAGCGAATGTAGTGGATATACAGTGAACACCACAGTTACTATGCAAAGTCTGTGACTGTTAAGTGAATCCATGATCTGCGATCCATAGTTTTTGACCGAAACTGGAATAAATATCAGTTTCTGACAAAAAAAATTAAGGCCACGTGACTATGAGATGTTGCAAACAGCCATAAATGCAGGCTATTTGGGCTTAAATGCCCAAAATGTGATCAGATGACCTTGGGGAGCGGGGGTGGCTTTTGGAACTTCAAATCCAAAGGAGGCCTGTTGTAATTTTGAATAGTTACTAAGCGAGTAGTTGTTAAATTGAGGACCACCTCTAATTTCATTGGAGGATTGGTGTATATTATGAGCCATGATTGCCATCTTCTTTAAAAATAAAATGTTCCTTTCAACAGGAAAAGACTGAGCAAAGCAACTGGAGCAATCGTTTTACATTTTGGCGTTCTCTTTTTGTCTTTCTACAGCTTTGATGTCGAGAATGGCTTCTCTCCAGGACGAAGTCCCCTTGGTTCCCAGGCCAATCTGGGCCTGGGACTTGTTTTACAAGGCACAACACCCCACAGCCAACGTCGGGAGTCCTTCCTGTACCGATCGGACAGCGACTATGACCTCTCCCCGAAAGCCATGTCCCGCAATTCCTCTATCAGCAGTGACATGTAAGCACAGAGGACACGGGTAACCCCAATACATTTTTCTGTCTTTTGCCAGCAGAAATTGAGGCTCATCAAATCACACAAAGCCCATTTCTTTCTTTTCCATCCTTGACATCCACTGTTACGTGGAATTTCTTGATGCTCCTCTTCTGCTGGAAAACCAGAGCCACACTAAGTGTGTCTCCCAGGGACAACACCGTATCTTAGGATGTTTGCAGTCTAGCTGCTCTAAGTCTAGTAATCAGTCTGGCTGGGATTAAAGAAGGATCGCAGAAGAATTCTGTTCTGGTATTTGCAATTAGAATAATTCTCTTCAGCTTCCCGTTCTTTTACATTTGAGAACAATCCCTTGTCAAGTTCAGTGAATTTCATGCAAAGCAGTGGGACAGAGTCTTATGAAATGGGTACAGGGTGGGTTCTGATCCAGGTTTCTGATTTCACTTGGGATATGTTGAAAGGTCTGCCATAGTGTGGAAAGAAAGTTCCAAGGCCATCTATATATTCCAGGGCAGTTCCTCTAGGTTAGCTGAGGACAGGGATGTAATCTGGATAGGGCGCTCAGTATGGCACTTCAGGCTGTGTTCAGAAATTGAACCCACTCTTTGGACTTTATAGCAGTGGTGAAATCCAAATTTTTTTACTACCAGTTCTGTGGGCGTGGCTTGGTGGGCGTGGCAGGGGAAGGATGCTGCAAAATCTCCATTCCCTCCCCACTCCTGGGAGAACAATATTGCAAAATCTCCATTCCCTTCCCACTCTGGAGCCAGCCAGAGGTGGTATTTTCTAGTTCTCCGAACTGCTCAAAAATTCCGCTACCGGTTCTCCAGAACCTGTTAGAACCTGCTGGATTTCACCCCTGCTTTATAGCCATTAACATCCTTCTCTTCTCCCCTTGCAGGCATGGAGAAGACTTGATTGTTACTCCTTTTGCACAGGTAGGTATTCTCTTTAGGACTGAAAATGGTCCTCCCTTGTCAATCTTGGCACACTGTGCCCCCGTGCCCAGTTAAGAACATGTTCAGAAGCATAATGAGATAATGTTCCCTATGTGGCTTTCTCCAACCTGATATGTTAAGGGCCTAAGGCCATGGCCAAGTCACTATTGTTGTGAATTGTAGCCTCATTTCTCTGAAAAGCATTGCGGGGAGGGGGCGGCTGTTGTCCCTCATGGGGCAATCCTTCCTCACTTTTGATTATTTTTTTGAACTCTTTCTAAGTCATTTAACTTGTTGGCCACAATCACATAACATACCTAGATATTTGGGGAATTAATGCTGCATAATTGTTTTTTATCTGTTTTTTAATCTTCCTTATTCCCGCCCCCCCCGCTCCCCGCCCCCAAGTTTATATGTGCAAAAATAATGAATTTCTCTGCTTCCACCATGCTATGCATAGCTTTTCAGGCTTCCACTTTGCATCCCATGTATATCATTTTTATCAATCTTCTTGCTGCCCTTAGTATACATACCTCACATACAGGTAGTCCTTTGTTTAACGACTGTTCAAAGTTACAGCAGCATTGAAAAAAGTGATTTACAACCAGCTCTCAAATTTATGACCCTCACAGCAGTGGTGAAATCTAAAATTTGTTACTACTGGTTCTGTGGGCGTGGCTTGGTGGGGGGTAATGTGACTGGGTTTTTTAACTTTTAAAACCATTTTTTCTACAACCTCTTCAGCGAAGACATTGTAAAAAATGCTTTCAAAAGGCTTGACAATCCCAGCTGAGTTGCCTGATCGGCAGAGGCTTTTTTTCTTTTAAATACCTCTGAAGATCAGGCAACTCAGCTGGGATCGTCAGAGCCTTTTGAAAGCATTTTTTCTACAACCTCTTCAGAGGTTGTAGAAAAAATGCTTTTAAAAGTAAAAAAAAAAGCCTCTGATGTTTGTGCGGTTCAGCTCGGCATGGGGGCGGGGGCAGGGATTTTTGCTACCAGTTCTCCGAACCACCCGGCTCCATTGCTACCGGATCGGGCAATCCAGTCCGAACTGGGAGCATTTCACCCCTGCCTCACAGCATTCCCCACAATCATGTGATCAAAAGTCAGGCATTTGGCAACTGGCATGTATTTACAACAGTTGCAGTCTCCTGAGGTGACGTGTTTGCCATTTGTGATCATCCCAACTGGCTTCCAATAAGCAAAGTCAATGGGGAAAGCTGTATTCACTTAATGACGTATGATTCACTTAAAAACTGCAGTGATTTAATAACTGGCAAAAAAAAAAAAGGTGGTAAAATCAAGCACGACTCGCTTAACAGCCTGTTTGCTTAAGCAGTGGAAATTCTGGCCCTAATTTGTAATTCAAAGACTACCTGTATACAGTTTGGCATTCCCATATCCTTCCTTTGGGATATCTCACTGTTTTGTAACAGTGTTCTCCAGGAGAAAAACATTTTGTCTCTTAAAAGAAGGGAAGTACATGGAAGAGTGAATTCACCACCTGGCGTCAGCAAGCAATTTTTCCCTCTTGGGATCCAGAGTTTTGGTACTATCTGGGAAGGAAGGTTAAAAATAGCCTCGCCCTCTCCTTAATCAGATAGCAAAAGAAAACTTCAATTTCTGGCAGCTGCAAGACCACTGAGAGGCAGAGTTGGGAGTCGGGGAGGAAAAGAGACTGACTAAAGACTGCAAACCCACATCTGCAAACCTCACAGTATTCTCTAAAGTAGGGGTCTCCAACTTTGGCAACTTTAAGCTGGAGGACTTCAACTCCCAGAATTCCCTAGCCAGCTCGCTGGGGAATTCTGGGAGTTGAAGTCTGCCAGGTTTAAATTTGCCAAGGTTGGAGACCCCTGCTCTAAAGGAGGAAGGGAGTTTCAGGGAAAAGTTGTATGAAGGGAGGCCCTCCTAAGTGATAACATCCTTTCAGGCTTGGATTGTATAATCTGGTCAGTTAAAGACGAAGAGCATAAAATATGCTAAACTTGGTTAATTTTAACCATGGCTAACTTTGTGGCCTAGTTAATCTTTTATTTCATTTATGATTCACTGTAGGAGGAAAATCCAATAAGTGGGTTGATTCAATTACTGAAAAATATGGATTTTTTTGCAAATCCAGCTAGCGAGTATTCATGTGAGACCAAGAGCCACTACAAGGTTGATTCTGAGGGATGGTCTTCTTCTCCCACTCACAGGTCTTGGCCAGCCTGCGGACAGTTCGTAACAACTTTGCTGTCTTGACCCACCTCCGGGAACATGTCTGCAACAAGTGAGTGACAGGTTCAGGTGGGGAAGGAAGGAAGGAAGGAATTGTGTGGGGACTGGGCAATTAAAGGGGTGGTTGACGAAACTGTGCCCCACTTTGGCATTCAATCAACCTGCAGAAACCCTTTTTTATGATCCTGTAGTTCTTTCTGCATGATGGTTTGATAAAGCAAAACTGTAGACAGAAGGCACTGTCTCTGGGGTCTCATCCTTTTGTCCTCCCTATTGTGTACAAAGACACTTCAAGTAGCATTTGCAAGGACCATGTTCTTATGACACCCTGTCTGCTGCAGAAATAGAAGCTGTTACACTGAGGTGTTCTCCATTCTCCCAATATAACCTGATGTTGCATAGCATTTGTCTGTCTTGAGGATGTTATTGTGATTGTGCGATCCAGAACTTGGGTCTGCTGAACTTCTATTGCCTGCTTAAGACTGTTGCAGCCACACAGAGACACACCCATTGTGTCACTAGGCCCTGCTCTCTGGGGCCATTTTGGCTTCAATTGTAAGAGATTTGGGCACTTGGCTTCCATGGAGGCATCGAGCCATGGTGGCAGTGGTTAGAAGGCAGTACTTCAGGCTACTTCTGGTGGCTGCTGGCTGCCAGCAGTTAGGCAGTTTGAGTCTCACCAGCTCAAGGTTGACTCAGCCTTCCATCCTTCCAAGGTTGGTAAAATGAAGACCCAGATTGTTGGGGACTCTGTAAACCACTTAGAGAGGGCTGTAAAGCACTGTGAAGCGGTATATAAATCTAAGTGCTATTGCTACCCACATAACCCTCAACTGCTTCATTTTATGAATATGGGTCTGCCAGTTTTCTGGATGACTGGTAATTCTAGTTTTTGGCAGACTTGTCAACAACTAATAGATTTGTATGTACAAAAGAGCAATCCGTATAAACAAGGGAAGAGACATCTCATTGATCATACACCCAATTAAATATATTACAGTTTTTTTGCTAGTCCTAACAAGTACAGGATTTGCATGGTCATTCTTCTCTTAGTGTTATCTTTTTCTGGAGGGAGGTACCCCAATTTTGACTACTGTAATGCATTTTTGTGTGTCCTGTGGGGGTTACCAGTTGCAAGCTCCATCTTTAATAGATTCCTGGGCTGTGAAAAAATGAAAGAGCGAGTTCCCTTGTTTCCCACAGGAATACTGATTTTCCAGAAGACTCTTCCCATGTTTAAAAAAAAAAAAAAAGGAGCCCCACCAACAGTTGCTGGGATGTTGGAGGGGAGCAGGATGATGCAGAAGAGAGTTCCCCTGATGTAGCTGTGGGCTCTTCCCCAGTGACAGGCTGTGTTGTTTTCCTTCCCTCCCCCTCACCAGAAAAAAATATGACTCTTGACATGAATATATCCGTCTCCAGAAGACTGATATTCCCATGTCAAGAAAACAAACAAAGAAAAAAATATATCCAGTCAGAGGGGCACATAAGAGTAGCAATGTGATAGGAAAAGTGAGCTCTTTCCTGCTCCTTTCTATGACCACCAATTTGTCAATGGAATTGCTGATCTCCAAAGACCAACTATCGATGTTAGCTTAGGCCACTTGAAAAGTGACTAAACCTTCCATTCCAGGCACAAACCGGAGTTCCTCAACTTTGCGCCATCAGGCCACATCTAATGGGCGAGTGATTCATGATTGATTTTCCCATTGGTAGGAGACACATGATGGGAGAGGAAAGGGAGACTGGGAATTAAATCTGTACCGGAGCATCCCTCCCCAGCCGGGTTTCTGAGGCACAGTGAAGCTTACCTGTTGGCCCACTTTTCTTCTGATTCAAGACCGGGAGGAATGCTGATTTAATACAGCTATGAAGCCACATCCTCAGTGTCACAGGGTGCTGGGTTGTGCAGCTCTAAACAGGAGAAATACAACAAGAAACAGAGACAATAATGGGAAGAACATTTCCAGGGTGAGAGCAGCTGTAATCCCAGCGGAGGTCAAAATGGGCAAGATGGCAGATGCAAGGTCACAATGCAATAAGGCCAAAATGCCTACAGGAAGGGGTCAAAAAAGTGAAGTGGGTCACTACAACCATGAGATTGAAGGGGCAAAGGGATGGAGACATGACAAGCTGTCGTTGCCTGCATCTTGCCTGTTTTGACCAGAGGGAAGGAGAACCTCACTGTGTACAAGTTACCTTTGTCCCAGATTTCTAAAAGAAAGAGAAGTAGGGAAGACATTTCACGTTACTGCTCCCATCTAAAATTGTACTCCTTTGAAGTACAACCTCTTGGCATATTGGCAGAGCTAATTTTCAAGTAAATTTGCTTAGGAATGCAGCCTTCTTTAAATTAGAGTTTATGGTTCAATTATAATTTGCATGCCGGTAACCATACTCTACTCTTACGTTGGTGGGGGGGGGATGTGCTCTTGAGTAAATAGCTTGTTTGGGGATATTTCCCTTCTCTCCATCACCAGCCACAGAGAGCCGCAGGGCTTCAGAGAAGCTTAACTTTATGCTATATTTTGCAGGCGAACATCTGGTCCAGTCAATCCCGTCTCTACCTCTAAGGTCAATCTATCAGGTAAACCCTCTCAGCTGTCTCTGGGATGTTTTCCTTTTTCTTTTCTTTTTTTAACTCTCATTCAAGTAAAATGGCCTCACCTTGTGAAGTGGCCCATATTACAAACTGGAAAGCTTCATAAGCTTGTAAAAGGAAATCAGCTGATTTGGATCCAAGGTCTGCATCATTCAGCATCTGGCTTTCAAGAGAGGCCAATCAGATGCTTCCACAAAGTCTGCAAGAGAGATGCATAGGCAGATGCCCTTCTGTGGTTGTTCCCAGTAACTGACATTCAGAGCTAGACTGCCTCTGACTGTGGAAGTCTCAGCCTTCGTTCATGGCTTAACAGCTATTAATAGATCTTCCCTTCTGAATTTGTCAAAATCTCCTGTCAACCATCACTAAGGTTGATGGGCAAAGAGTTCCACAAGCTAAGCTCTGTGCACAAAAAAGCTTTTTTTTTTTTTAAAGTAACTTGTTAAATTGGAGGTGCTGCAGACTTTATTTTTTTGTGAGGTGCAAGGAAAAAATAACCCTTTCTCTATGTTCCTACAAGATTTTACTTCTCTTACACCACCCTTTAGTTGCTTCCTGACCACCCCACCCCACCCCACGCTTTACCCTTTCCCATGTCTGAATATTGGGAAAGGATGATTTGCCCTTTTCCAAGTGAATTCGTGCCACAGAAGTTCGAACTAAACATTCAGGGGGCTCCTCATAGCTCATGTGTGTGCAGTGTCAGCAGGCAACTGTATTGAAGCCGTGGAAAGGGGGAAAAAAGGTTTCTTCAGCCTAAAGAGAAAAGCGGGGGGGGGGGGATTGATTGGTGTTACCAGCTCCTTTTCATGCATTGTACATGAGAGTAGTATTGAGGCCCGCTGCAGGTGATTCTTACGGGGGGCCTCTCAGGGCCAGCCTTGCCCTCCCCCCTGGCTACTTGCCCTCCCACCCCTACCCGTCACACCCCCCTCAGCCTCTGCAGTCTGTGTTTGCTCTGGGCTGCCCTCTCCCTGCCCCTCCTTCTCTGGCTCTGTTTCATGCCACCTCTGCGGCGGGTGGAACGTCTCCAATTGACGTCAGTTGTTCCATTATTCAAAACGCTCTCTTTCAGCTGGTCTCTGCGGCCCCACAAGAGACAGGCCCTTCTGATGGGCAGCCCTTCCTTTCCAGCCTCGGGGCAACCTGAACCACCTCTCTCTCTCTCTCTCCTGCATTCTGCTAAACCTTTGGTCGACCCCTGACATCGGGCAAATGGGTTCCAGAAGCATATATCAACCTCGGCGGGCTTGTCTGACAGAAGGCAGGGGATGCCATAGAGGCACATGCTGCAGTAAATGGCAGGGGGGGGGGTGGAGTTGATGGCTCCCAGTGAGATAGGTTAATGTGAGGGGGAGGCAACTTATATACCAATGCTATGGCCAAACACTCTTTAGCAGGATTCCTAGGCTGTGGCATTCAAAAGTCCTAGAATGGCAAGGAGGAAAGCCTCTATTACTTCCTTATCCCTTTCTTGTCTTTGCTTCCTTATCTTGCCTCTTTGGACAAGGTAAGCAATGTCAGCACAGTCTAAAGCCAGGATTTTGCCCTAAAATTCAATGTTTGGTTGATCATGATATACTGAATAAGTATAGCTCCTTGGTTCACACATAATGCTAAGCCACTATGAATGAGCTTGTACATTAAACCAAAAACAAACTAAATTTAGCCTTCTATCAGGCATGAGCCCAGGAAAGGTTGAAATGTAGATTATAAGCTCCTTGAGAGCAAAGACCTATCTTATTTCTCTAGCGCTGTGTTTCTCAACCTCAGCAAGTTTAAGATGTATGGACTTCATCTCCCACAATTCCCCAGCCAAAGTTGCTGAGGTTCAGAAACATTGCTCCAGCCATTTAAAATATATGCAAACTACTTTTCCAGCAGGCATTCAATGTCCAAACTGCTGCTTCAAGTTATTATAGAATAAAATTACAGAATAAAAGAGCTAATGTTAACAAAAGAAAATCCCAAAAGCAAATTCAAATATTAGGATTGCAACCCTTAAGGAAAATGGTCCAAAATACGAGTGTTTATTTATGTTGCAGTAACTCTGTTATAAATCATTAATCCTTTTTTCTGGCAATCCCATGTGGATCAGCATCTTGTTCCCTGAAGAGGCTAATATAATATTCTGAATCAAATGATCCTGCTCTGTTTACTGTGGATTTGCTTTCCAGCTGATTCCAAATATTACAACTGGGATCTTCAATAACTCTAAAATATTATCCCATTTTATTTAACCTTACTTTACTTGCCTCCATGATGCTTAGACCCCACCTTGATAGTTCTGAGAGATGCCACATGTGAACTGCAAAAAATAAGAGCTGGACCATTTTTTTCAAACTAGAACCAGTTTTCAGAATGTACCACTGTGGTTTCCACCTAGGGCTACTCAGGTTATTGCCGGTTTTGAACCTAATTTTCAGTGTGTGTGGAGACTCAACAGTGCCACTCCTTAAGGTGGCACAGACATGCCTTCTAGATGGCATTTTCAGTGATGCTCTTTGCATTTCATAGAGGATGCCTACCAAAAGTTGGCTGTCGAGACCTTGGAAGAGTTAGACTGGTGCCTGGATCAGCTGGAGACTTTGCAAACACGTCATTCAGTCAGTGAGATGGCTTCCAACAAGGTAAGACATTCAACCCAGGTTGGGATTCAACTCCAAAGACAGGAAGTTCCCCTCTACTCTCTCTTTCTTGACCACTGTCAACTGTTGTGTTATGGCCATGGAGTTGTTTCTTTTTTAAAAAATGGCATAAGGTTTTGTGAGAAAAGGGGAAGCCAAGGAAATGACACAGGCTTTTTGCTTGAAGCAGATTAAAATTTGGGGAACAGCTGAAAGTTGAGAAATGGGGTTGCTGCTTAGAACATTCCACAATCCACCTTTGCAAAAGAATTTTTGGTTATTCCAGAAGTCTGCAACCCCTGTTTGTCCAGTGCAACTCTTCCCAAGATATATCCCTGTGCTGTTGCAACTAGAAAGTCAGGGAAGGGCTGCTCTGGGCCACTGGCCATCAACCAGTGCGTTTCCTCACAGTTCACTTTATTCTTTCCTCTGAAGAGAAGCATTAGTGAACTTCCTGAAGGGCAGCCTCGATTGACCAGTCGTACAAATAAACAAACCATGATATCAGTCAGAAGAGATCGGAAGTGACTGCTTTAAATAACTTTTATGTATTTAAGCAGAAAAAAATATCAAAGAAGGCAGTTGGGGGGTGGGGAATAAAAGTATGGCTCAATATTCAAAATGCTAAAATGGTTGGCAACTTTTATTGCCTTTCATTCAAGACAATAAAATAAGTTCTTTCAATTTTTTAATACACTCCCAGTTTCTGGTCCATTGATTCCAACAGAGTCGAAAATAATAATGTGGGGTGTGGGGGGGAGATACACTGTGCTGGAAGCCAATGAAAAATGAGTGCCTCACTATGTGGGGGACACTCCAAGCCATGAGAGTGGGGTAATAACACACATTTGCAAGGTTTATATAACATGCAATGACTATCTGATGGCTTAATACAATGACCTGGAGCATACACCAAACAATGCCAAGCTACCCAATTCAGTTTTAGCTTAAGATGTTCAGACTATCTGTGGGACAGAAAGTGTCCTTCCCTTGCAACTTTTAGAACCTGAAAAAGATCAGCCTTCCCACATATCACTGTGAGCCCTTTTTACAAGAGAGAGAGAGAGAGAGAGGGAAAGAAAGAGGGAGAAAGAGAGAGGGGGGAGAGAGAGAGAAAGAAAGAGAGGGAGGGAGAGAGAGAACCTTCTCCAGCCTTTGTTCACCCTACGAAGAACACTCTCTCCATTTGTCAATGGTTTTCTTGACGAAGGTGAAATGGGGGAGGGGATTTTCTCCCAGTATTCCTCTTCCCCGGTCTCTCCGAAAGCCTTGGCTGTTGCTAAACAGAGTTTTTGGAAACAACTTCCATGCTCTGTTGTGCCTGGGCACCATCGGGGGTTAAAGCAAGTCGCCTTCCTCAAAGGCTCTGCCAGCCAATGGAAGAGCTGAGCTGGCTCCAGCCTCTGTGCCTCTGGCTTCTGATTGGATGGCAGCAGAAAGGAGAGGTACCTGATGCTGGAGCAGCCTTGGTACATCCATGGAAGAACCTTTCTTCGGCAGTGATGCAGGGGGGACTTCGTCCCCCTCCTCAGCTTCTGTCCTAACTCTCAGTGTTGCAGACAAGTCCTAGGCTCCTTGTTGCAGAGCTTGGGATGGTAGTTCGGACCCCTTGGTAGGAGCATCCGTGGTCTGACTAGGGTGCCTCAGAGAGAAGGGTGGGCTCGCACACAAGCTGGCACTTTTGGCGTTGCGATGCCTGACGCCAGCACTTCGTTGTTCGCATTCTGGGACAGCAGCATCAAGGTAAGTGGGGACTCCCTGACACAATGTAACTCCCGGCAAATCTCTCCAGCAAAGGGTGCAGGAAAGGGCTTTTGCTGCTGCAAAGATTTAGTCACAGACACAAAACATCAAAGACACACACATACGTACGCACACCCCTAAATGCATGCTGTTCTGCAGCAGTCGGGATGCCTTTTCCTCTCTAATTGTTCAGGTATCCTCTCCTTATCTCAGGAGCTGATGGGAGGTTTCTGCTTTTGATACACCAGCAATGCTTTTATTTTTTAACCTTGTTGAAAATACTCTCGAAGGAACTCTGCGAAACTGGCTGAATAATGCTGTCAGACAGATGAAACAGTACTACGGGAGGGGTCTGTCCCCCTCCCCACATAATATGTCACTTGATGAAGAGACATTTATAAAAGAAGCGTATTTCAAAGCGAACAAAAAAATGCAATCGAGGCGTTCATGTGTGTTTTGAGTTATACAGAACTCTTCTTCCCACAAGCTGAATTTTTAAACAATTCTACGAAAGGACCAGGTGCCTTAATCCACATTGTAGAATATAACTCCACATTGTCTCACATAAGTATAATTCTTTTTCATTAAGGTGAATCCTATAATAGGATGGAAGGCTTGTTTCAGTATGGATAAGATCTAGCACATCTGACTTGGAATTAGGTCATGTTTGAGAAAAGCAGTAAAATATACAACATGAATGTATCTTTGCATTTATCACCTAATTCTTTATGGAGTTTCTTGGGTATTCTCCTCTTTTCCAGAGATAAAAATGAATTTTTACACTAGTTTTGAAGCAAGATTCCTGAGCTCACCTTTGATGCTTGAAAATTTTCAAATTTTCACTTTTAAAAATGTAAAATTGAAGATTTATCTAAGATTTGTGCAATCAGAATTCTCCAAGTCATTGTTTTTTAAATTTTATTTGATGTTTCTTCTTCTCCTTGGCCGGATATGCTACCAGTAATGCGCATAATTTAAAAGCTTACAAAATAACGAGAAGATAGATAATACGTTTGTAGCTCATCAAAAGACTTTGATGTGGTTTAGCTTTTCCTCTGCACATTTCAACATTTGCTTTCTTTTGACTCATTTTCATGTCTCAGGTTCTATGTTAACTCGATACCTAATATTTAAATGTTTAGAAATCGAAGTGGATGGACATCTTTGCTTGCAATTTGGCAATCCTTTCTCAGATTCTGAATATAACCAAAAGCCAACTGAGAAAATTCAGAAATTAAGTAGAGACATTTTTCTGCTGTTGAAGTGCCTTATTGGAAATATCTTTCCTTGCCACTGATCTCTTTCTTTAACAATGGCCTCCTGTTCAGTGGTGTCTTTAAGGCCAGGCACATAGGATTCAGATGCTCCTGATCCAAATGCTGTGATGGCTCCTTACAGGTTGCTGATTTCCTCTCCTCTCTGTCTCTAGTTTAGAAGAATGCTCAATCGGGAACTGACACACCTCTCGGAAACAAGCCGTTCTGGAAACCAGGTATCCGAGTACATCTCCAACACATTCTTGGGTGAGTCATCAGCTTTATGGTCTTCAAATGCAATTCTTGAGAAAATTGTTAAATTGATATGGAAGAGTGGGCCAGTCACTTCTCTAAGGGGAGGCAGACGTAAACTGTTAAAGAAATGTTATTCTAAATTAGCCTACAATACATACAGCTCTTTCTGATCCTGGCAGATAAGCAATAGGCCTTAAAGAACTTTAGAAATACAAGTAAAAATTATTTTGCAGTATTTTCGGATTCTAGGTTTCTTGAACAACTAGCATCTTTCTTGTGCGGTTACCACTATTCTCTTTTAAAACACCATAAAGAGAAATCTACAGCTGTGCTGTAGCAGACCTACCAAGCTGTCTAGTCCAGTATTCTGTTCCTACAGTGATGAACTGAACATCCCTGGAAATTCTATAATAAAGACATAAATGCCATCTTCTTCATGTACAAGCTGAGTTCCTGAGCGTACAAGTTGACAACCAGTGGAACAGACTGCCACATGAAGTGATCAGTTCTTCTTCTCTAGATATCTTCAAGCAGAGGCTGGATAGTCAATTGCAGAGATGTACTAGTGGATCCTGTACGGAGCAGGAAGTTGGATTAGACCCTTCCAACTCTATTCTGTTTTTCGCCATGATGAATAGTCAGAAGTGTACTTCCATCTGATACTGGTGGTGTCATACATACACCTCAATAACAGACAACCTCATTCTTGTCTAATCTCCTTTTTAAACTATCCAAGTCGGCATGCATCACTGTGACTTGGGATAGTGAACACCACAGTTAAACTTTTTGTTTGCTGAAAAGTGGTTCCCTTAATTAGTCCCAAATATCTTATCATTAAATTTCTCTTCCCGAGAGATCCATTATCTACCATTGCTGCATTTTGATTATTCTAATACCGTGTTTTCCCCAAAATAAGACCCTGTCTTATATTTTTTTTGAGCCCTGAAATAAGCAGTTGGCCTTATTGCCATGTGCTCAAAAGCCCGATTGGGTTTATTATCAGGGGATATCTTATTTTGGGGGAAACAAGGTACATCTCTAGCGTATCTCCTCTAATATGTATCTTTTTTATCTTATTAAATTCCCCAGCTTTTTAAATATTTTACATATTTTCCTGATAGCAAATTAGCTTTAGCCCTACTTTGTTTTGGCTATTCTTTCCTGCACCTTTTCCAGTACTATAAAAAAAAATTAAGTCCAGCAATAGTGTACTAGAATTATGAAGCTAGTAGCATCATTCATTCATTCATTCATTCATTCATTCATCCATTTATTCATTCAATTTCTATAGACATCCTACTCAATCAAGTGACTCTGGGCAGCTTACAATTATAACATTATAAAGCAATTTAAAAAACATTAAAAGACTAAAGTATCCACAAAATAAATATATAAATAGCAGCTGTGATGATTTATCAACTAACAGCAAAGCCAATTTAATTTCAATTCTTTTACTAAAGATTCCCAAAACGGAATTAACCTTTTGAATAGGGACTGTATGTTGAGTCTTGTTTGAGATAATCACTGCAATCCCAAAATCCTTTTCATGGATCATCAATGAGTCTAAAAAATTAGGTTATGCTGGGCAGCAAATGTACATAAATTCTTGTATAGAATAGCACTTACCAAATGTGAATAGTGTAATGCAAACATATAAAGATTAGCCAAATATAATATGTATCTGACTTTAATTCTTCAAATTTTATCTGATTCATGAAATGCTATCCTCAGTTTTCAGACAGACAAATTGGTCAAAAGGTGGATACAGTATATATAGAGAATAATAATACATGCAATTAAAAAACTTGGTTAAAATGGTCTTAGTCCATTAGGTCATCAGTACTTCTATATATGCCCTATTGAGGAAATTGATACCTTGCACTCACATGCAAGTAGGCAAGTAGGTTTTCACTCGGGGGGGGGGGGGGGCATCTGTATTGTGGCACAATCTCTCCTTGACATTCACATGCCTCCAATGATATCTTTTAGAATCCTGATGAAGACCTGTCTATTCACCTTGGTCTTCCAAATATGAAGGATAATTGAATGATTTCTTATTTGATTGTTTTCTTTTTTCCTCCCCTATTCATTTTTACTATCAAGGATGGGCATAGCATTCAAAAGAACCATTTCTCCAAGTACCTCTGTTGAAAATATGAAGGCAACCATGTCCTTGACAAGGCTGGCATGACTATTTTGAAATCTTTCTCTGACTCTTTCTGTATACACATGTGTGTGTCCAGTTATTTTGTTTCTCTGACAGTTTTTCCCCCCACATGTATTATCTATGCATGCATATATGGGCAGAGACAACTGGGACAGAAACAACCGCATGAGCTTTGTGAGCGAAGTGGCTGTTTTAATGCTTCAGAGGGAAATGCTTCTCTTGCACTAATGTACTCTTTTTAATCCTTTGCACAATCTATTTTCATAGTGATTTAGGTGTTGCCCTTATTATTCTATTATAATAATTTTGTTGTAAACCACCTGGAGAAACAATTGTAGGTAAAGCTATATAGAAATATATAAAATAGCCACATATACATCAAGTGCACTGATGATGCACAAGAACAGTAGGCAACAATACATGTATTCTGACTTTGATATGCAAACTGAAACTGGCAAAAGGAGGGAAACACTGATATTTATTAAGCTATAAAATAAATGCCTAAATTCTACTTCAATCTGCCTTCTTGTTTTTCAAGGAGGCAAAGATGCAGGCAAGATTGGTACATTCTTCTTAGTTTTGCAAGAGAAGATGCCTTTTAAAGTTCTTCTGTTAGTGAGTGGATGCCATCATAATCATCATACAATAGAATTTATTTTTATTTAATTATTTTAAAAATAAAAAAATCAATAATAGATGACCCCGAATAACTGAAACTTCTGCTGGATTTGAAGGTCATTGAAAAAATATGTTTAAAATGCAACACTTCTAAAAAAAAAGAATAATTAGAATAGAATTACCATCTCTAAGTTGAAAACATCTGGACAACCACTAGATGGCTGCAGCAAGTTAGAGTTGTCTAATTTCTAACTGCTACCTTCTAATGATCATCCAGATGTATGCAGTCCAGATAATGACAGTCTTACAATAAAGAAATTTGTCTGAAAATGTGTACGAACGTTTATGATTTAAAAAGAAAAAAAATGGATCAATCAAAAAACATTCTAAGCAGTTACCTTGGAAGGAAATCCTAATCCTATTGTTCTTATTCAGAATTTATATATATTAATAAAGAATATGCTTCATTATATCACTATTGGTGCTTATAAACTGATTTTGCTTAGCAATTTTTAAAAATTAAAACATTATAGTCATGTGGTTTATAGCCTTGCTTTTTGCAAAATAGTTTAACAGAAAGTTCTTCCCGTTTGTTTTCTCCATGTATGTGACTTTTTTTTTCTCATGTGTGGTACAAGTTTGAGTATATATGTGTATGTGAATGTGTGAGAGAGAGAAGACAGGTGAGGTGGGGAGACCCTGGCTGGTCTTAGAAACATCACTTTGAGGAAAGGACCGACATTCCACCACGCATTGTCTCTGGTTGCCATGGTGTCTGTAATATTATTAGTTTCTGCTGACGTCAATCCTTCTGTGCCTCAATATTGGGGGAGGGTCTCCCTTTGAACAGCAGGAGACTCGTGCAGGGGTGGGGGCTTTTCATACTCCACTTTTTTCAGCATGCTTAACTCTTTGGTTTCAGAAATGTTGTTTCAAGAAGGACAATTGTTAATGCTGGGCAGGGAATTTGCTAGCTCATAGCAACTTTGAAATGAGAAGGCTGAGTCCCCAACTCCAAGTGGGGAGAAAGAGTATGTGCTTTTAAAGGGTTTCACAAGATACAGTTTCTTCATCCTTCTCCATCTCCTCCTCTTACTTTTTGTCTTGAATTTAGATTTTGTAAAGCTTCATGGAGATGGAAGGTGCCATATTACACAATAGGGCAATGGGGCTCTGCTCTTCAGATTAATAGGAGCAGAGATATGATTTGGTTTATGTTGATTCTTTGGAGATTTTCAAGATACTGTCACGACACAGTTTTTTTCATCACAGATAAAGGAAGTTCATAAAGGTCCTGGATCTTACCGTGAACCATCAAATCATCTAAGCTGTCAGTCTATATTTTGTTCCTTTCATTGCAGGGAATCTGTTTCTTTAGGGGAGCTTCTCTATTGTCATTCATGATCTCAGTAGGAATTCCCATAAGCTTCTGAAGAATTTTGGGGATCTTCGTAACAGGACTTGTTCCACTGCTATTGTATTTTCTGTCTCCTCCAGACAAGCAGCATGAGGTGGAAATCCCAACCTCTGTTCCCAAAGAAAAAGACAAGGAGAAAAAGAAGCGGCCAATGTCACAGATCAGTGGTGTGAAAAAACTGATGCATAGCTCCAGCTTCAGTTGTGCTGCCATCCCTCGTTTTGGAGTAAAAACGGATCAGGAAGGGCCATTGGCTAAGGTGAGGAATGCCAGGCACCAGAAAAGACTGGAACAGGAAAGCTGGCATGGTTCACTACATATTGTAGTTGTATATACGTATTCTGAATTTTGTCTAAATGCAGAATTGATGTTCAACATAAAGAAGTCCTTCTACCGAAGCATTTAAAAACAAGTTTCTAATCTCCAAATTGCATAGCTTAACTACAGTAAGAACGTTAACTGAAGAGTTAACGGGATGGATGGAGAGCTATATTTTTTTCCCAGGTTTACAGATTAGTTTGGAGGCTGTGGGGAGAGGGAGGGGATATGGAATAGATAGCATTAATTGTGGCTCCACAGTTGTGGGACTCCCTTTAGTTGCTTCCTGTTGAGCCGTAAGCAAAAACTCTTTTCTTTGTGAAAATAATTGTGCTGCTTGTTACGTGCATGGAAATCTGCCAATTTCATGTTATTTTAATTGCTTGGTGTTTCATTCTTATTGTAGTGTTTTTAAACCTGCTGTAAAACATTTTGATAATAATTTGATTGTTCTTTTGATTGGTGGGAGAAAGAAGAAGAGCATCTGGCAGGGGCAACCAAGAGGAGGAAAGGAAGACAGGATTATAGAGGGAGGGAGAGAGGGAGGGAAAAATCCAGAGGGCGATGTTGGAACTCAAATAAAATCTGAGAAGAGGCGAAACAACCATATCTAAGTGAGTGATGAAATGGAAAAATAGAGAACGAAAAAAGGAAAAATAAGGGGAGGGCAGTGGAAGATGGATGCATATTTACAGAAGACGAATGGTTTGGAAGCAAAGGAAATAAAGAAAATATAAGGAATTGGAAAGAAACCGAGACAAGAAGAAAGACTCGAACATGGCTTTACACACACACACACACACACACTGTGTGTATCTGTGAATATATAAAAATCTAGGAGCCATATATTTCCATTTCAGTCTTTGCAATACCACTTTGGTAAGTGCTATCCCCTTTCAATTGAGCATAATATATTGTGAATCAGTTCACTTAATAATGCAATGTATCACAGTTCCTGAAAGTCAGTTTGAGGTTTTTGATGTACTTTCTCCTGCTTATTTTAATTGTCTTCCTACTGAAAACTTTAGTAATTTTTTATATGTTCAGTTATGCTAGGTAAGTCTTCTTATTTGGAGAGACAGGGAGGCAGTTTGCTTCTACTTTTGTTACTTGGCAGAGTCCAACATTGTAGCAACATCTTTTCTTGCCACCCCCTTTAGGAACTAGAAGATGTGAACAAATGGGGCCTTGATGTATTCAAGATTGCAGAGTATTCTGGCCACCGCCCACTAACAGTCATCATGTACAGCATCTTCCAGGTGAGCTGATTCTTTTTCACAAAAATTATCAGGTTCACAAAGTTGTTATTGAAATGTCAAAAGCTAAATGGCAGAGGAGAGATGCTGCAGGTTTACCATTAAACAGGGCCATTGGCCTGAAAGAAGAGTCCAAAGAAGTAGTTCAGTCTATATGTATATTGATTGATCAATAATGTAAGGCAGATACATTAGGTAAATAATGTTTTAGGCACTAATGGTTACTTCCACACTGCTTTGAAGCCTTAACACATTTTGTTGATATGCCTACTTTGCAACAGCATCATACTGATTGACTTGGAAATTGTAGGGTATTTTTTTAGGAACTGTGGTTAGAGTAAGAGATTTATTCTGTCCTTGGCTAGTTCTGAAATCTCAAGAGAAAGGCCAATTTTGGTTTCATGAGTTCTTCCTCCAGCTCTTCTTTTCCCTCTTTCCCCGATGATTTGACTAGGAGGGTCATAGCAGCTTCCTTCTGTATTGTCCACATTGTAGGAAAGGGATTTGCTGAAAACTTTTCAGATCCCTGCGGATACCTTCATCACATTCATGATGACCCTGGAAGATCATTATCATGCTGATGTTGCCTACCACAACAACATTCATGCAGCTGATGTTGCCCAATCCACACACGTATTGCTTTCAATGCCAGCTCTGGAGGTGAGTCTACAGAAAGGCTTTTTGGGGGAAGCTTTGAAATAGGCTGGGAAAAAGAAAGGGAATTTTTCCTTTAATTGTTGGAACAGTTCTTTCTAGTCATTTGGGAGGCTTTCTATAGGACAAGAACAAGCTGTGCAATTAAACCCCTACTAGGAAGATCATTGAATTCTGTGACACTCAGAGAAAAAAGCTAATTCTTCCAAGAAAAAAAAATTCTGACATGGCCAGCCAATTTCTCCATTATTCTGCTATAAGAGAAGAGACCAGTAGTTTATAGAATAATGGAATTGTAGCATCATAGGATTGAAAGCAACCTTGGGAGTCTTCAAGTTCAACCCCCTGTTTGAAGTACCTAGTCCTATATACACTGATACAGTGTGAAATGTCAGATCTAGTGTTCCATTCATCTGTTTATTGGTTTCTTTCATCTTTTCTAATGTTGCTTCTGCTCCTTTTGTTCTCCCAGGCTGTTTTCACTGACCTGGAGATTTTGGCTGCCATTTTTGCAGCTGCCATCCATGATGTTGACCATCCTGGTGTTTCTAACCAGTTCCTGATAAATACCAGTGAGTGAATCACCTTTAATACCAAATTTCTTCAGGATATTAATACTGTCTTCAGTCTAATCTATTTTAGGTCTTATCCACATGTTTTAGGGTTGCATCTTGCATGTCTGCTTTCCTCCTGTCCTTTCATTGGGAGGCATGTAAGCCAACATGAAAGATGACCCCACAGCCAATATTTACTGTGACTCAGCAATAGAGCTGGTTAATTTGCTGCCTGCATCCATTGGATAATTTTAGGAAGCCCTGCTGAACTTCCACCTCCATCAGACATCATTTAGCACCAAAAAATTGCTCCCTGCTATATGGCAAGGCAGGGTTGGAGGACTCCAGATCCTTCTGTCAGCTAAAATATTTTATGTAAGGGGGTTTCAAGGTCAATCTTCATTTCCTTTTTTAACAGTCTGTCCTATTAATGTTGAAATGTTGGAACACTGAGAGGTTGATATTCCCATGGGAAAAATACTCTAGAACACTGCTTCTCAACCTGTGTGATCCACAGACCCCTGGGAGATGCAATGTTACAGGAGGTCTGCAAAGGCTTGAAGAAATGTTATGATTTCAATCTTCAGTTAAGTCTTGGTGGTCCATGGCCATGGCCCGTGGCCCGTGGCCACAAAAGGTATTTAAAAAGGGCCCGTGGTGAAGAAAAGGTTGAGAACCACTGTTCTAGACTATTCCAAACTGAAGCCCCTCATCAAATATTGAGAGCTCAGGCTCAATATTTAGAACTCATCATAGTGAGAAAGTAAATCACTTGATTTCCATTCTTCTGGAAACTGAAATCTATCCATAAGTTATACCATTTCCAGAAGACCTCTTCTCCCCCTGCTACTACCTCCTTACGTCTGATGGGAGGATATCCTCATAAGACACCAATGGTTTGGGACAAAATTTCAAAGAGATACCCAGACTGTAGATCTCTTCTTGAAGCTGTGTTTATCTATAGTAAGAGTAGAGTATCACAGATAAATTTTGGAGTGGCCATCTTAAACTGGTTAATTCTTGAAAAAAAAATGCTGGGCAAGTGGTTAAGTCTACTGAATCAGTAAAGCACTGACTTTTCATATGCTTAAAAAGTTGTTTCAGTACCTATTAATGTGGACATAGGAACTGTTTCCCTCAGGCTGTTCTATGGTTTAACCAGGGCTAAAACTTACCACAGGGAATGCAAACTCAGGGACCAGTATTAGGTTTGAGGAAAGTGGGAGGCAAGACACACAAAATAAAAGGCAGAGTAATTTGATACGGAATGTTTTGAGGCCAAAACATTTGAGGTAAACTGATTAGAAAATCCATGTTATGTAAAGAGAAGCTGGCTGAGAACTCCATCTAGAACTTTATACTCCTGAAGAAACAATACAAATGTCTATTACAAAACAAGAAAAGAAAATTCCCCGTGCTTCTTGGCAGCAATTGATAACAACACCTCAAGCCAGAAATACCATTCTACTCTGGTGCCCAATAGCTGGCACCAGATTGACAGGTTCCTTCTCCTTCCCCAACTTGTACCAGCATCTGTGTGGGAGGACTATTTTAGAGCACTATAGTCACAAGAAGTGTCTCCTAAATTCAATTTAACTTGTAATGCTAACCTGCTCTCTAACTGAGCTCCAGTTTCAAGTGCTGAAATAAAGATGTTTATAAATCATGTGATGCCTGGTAAGGCTCCTGAAATATTATGCAATAACTGGGAATGGTGGGCCTCAATTCTTGCTTCCCTGCTTGTTTATACTGATCACTCTGCACAAATTAGTAGGAATGCAAATTCAGGGTTGTACCAGAGATCAGTATGTAAGATCATCTAAGTTTATTTTTAAATCAGACCAAAGGCCTGTGTAATTCAACATCCTTTGGAAGATACCTAGTAATCAGCAATCATATGATAAGCCACAATGATCTAGCATCAGCTGCCTATGGGCTTATTTGACACCTAACATTTAAGTTGAAGTTTAGAATACGAAATGTAAAAAAAAAAAAAGAATGAACTGAACAAGTTTATTCTTGTTCAAATAATAGGAAATTATATAGTAAGAGTGCATATAAGACAAAGGCAGGTTATTTCAAACCCGTATGTAAACTTTTTAGCTTCCTTACGTTACTGCCCTATTTCTTACCAAACTGAACAATTGTCACAATCCTAAACACTGCCTGCAAGGCTGCCTTTTAAACTAATGATGCTCTTCCTATTGTCTCTTTCCTTCCCTATTTATTTTTATTTGTAGATTCAGAACTGGCACTAATGTATAATGATGCATCAGTGTTGGAAAATCATCATTTGGCAGTAGGATTCAAACTTTTACAAGAGGAAAACTGTGATATTTTCCAGAATCTCTCGAAGAAGCAACGACAAATGCTCCGGAAAATGGCCATTGACATGGTGAGAAGCTTTTGTTGGTCATGGTTATAATTTTGAATGAATCACAATATTTCAAGTGAGATGACATGTGTTTATTGAAATGCATGAGACTGGTTATTTTGATGTTGAAAGCTGTTTCAAGGAGATTGTTGTTTAAGAATAAATTAATCACATACCGGTAGTTAAGGAATTAGGACGAGATTTACTATTTTAAAAGCTTGGCAGACCTGTTTGAAAGAAACGTTCCTTTATCTCTTGGGAAGTTTACATTTTTCCTAAGTTTACATCTTCTTTTAGGAAGTTTCTGTTGTACCATTTCTAATCCTCTGAAAAATAATTGCTTGATTTTAGTCAAATATAATGGAAATTCAGAGACCATTATGGCTTCATCACTTGTGGGGGTGAACTTATACAGTTGCATTTTGTACTTAAAGGCCATTCTAACCCTCATCAGGATTTAGACAACAATATGAAAATGTAGTGATCATTTTTATTCTTGGGGCTCGAATTAGAAAAAAGCAATTTGTCATTAATAGGGAATGGTGAATGAGACCCAAATACAACTAAAGCTGTTAATCAAAGATGTCTGTCAAAAACTCAAGATGGTGTCCATGAATATGTGATTGAAACCCCATTCCATTTCTACATGTCATTTGCAGCATGGCCATCATCTTGGCTTATGTAAAGAATATGAGGAAAATGAAATGAAATAATATGTTGTGTGCATCTGAAACTAAAAATCCATTCAAACAGCTGCTTTAACATGCATTCCATTGTGAGTTGGCACAAAAGTATGGTGGCATAAATTGCTCTGTCACAACAGTTACTCTCTAGTTACTTTAGGAACAAGCAGTGCTACTCTAATAATTTTAAGATGGGACAAATTAAAGAGAGGAAACGGTTGCTCAGTTTCCATTCCTACCTGCTAGGTGGGAAAAATAATGGCCTATTTTTCTCCAGAATATTGGGATGGTTGTATTTACAGGTAGTCCTCCTTAACAATTGGGAACAGAAAGTCTGTTGATAAGTAACATGGTTATAAATTGAAAAAACACATGACTGCATTGCTGTCCCAGCTACCATTTTTGAGTGAGGAATGTGACAGTCATTAAGCAAGGACCTCATGTGACTGCAACTTGCAACTTCCTGCCAACTTCCTGCCAACTTCCTGCCAACTGGCAGGGAGGGTTACAAACTGCAATCATGTGACCATGGGACACAGTGACAATCAGAAGTGTGGGCCAATTACCTGAAATGCAGTCATGACCGATGGAACACTGTGGCCACCATAACTTTGAGGATCTGTTGTAGGTGCCATTTGTTTAACACCATAATAACCATTGTAACTTCAAATAAACACTGTATGAATGGTCATTAAACAAGACCTACCTGTTTTCAATTTTGATGCCACCTACCTCCATTAGGGTTTGAGCGATAGTAGCTATGAATCAATTATTTGGTACTTCACCAGAGCTAATGTAATGATTTAAAAATCATATTGAAAATAAAATAAATACTCTCAGTCACCTTTGGAATTGCCCTACTGTTATCTTCACAATAAACTTACTGCTACTACACTCTTCCTCTATTCCCCATATTTAAATAATTTTCTTTGTTTAAAGAAAGGTCTAGTGCTGTGATGGCGGACCTATGGCACGTGTGCCACAGGTGGCACACGGAGCCATATCTGTGGGTGCACAAGTGTTGCCCTAGCTCAGCTCCACCATGCATGTGTGCGCCGGTCATCTCATTTTCGGGCCTTCTGGGCCTACCAGAAGCTGGGAAACGGGCTGTTTCCGGCCTCCGGAGGGCCTCTGCGGGGGTGGGGAAGGCCATTTTCGCCCTCCCCAGGCTCCTAGAAAGCCTCTGGAGCCCAGGGAGGGCGAAAAACAGGCCTACCAGGCCCACTGTGCCATCCCATGCCAAAAGCGGGGGGCGCACGGGGGGGTTGCACGTGCATGCACGGGGGGCATGGCGCAGCATTGAATTATGGGTGTGGGCACATGCATGTGCAACTCCCCCACGCTCCCCCCGCTTTTGGCACGCGACGGCAAAAAGGTTAGCCATCACTGGTCTAGTGATACAATAAGGAACCCCCAAATGACCTGATGTGTGCTTTGATAAATACCAGATTGCCAGTGCCCACAAACTGAGGGCGGGGGTAGCATGCAAAGAGCAATCAGATTCTGTACCATGGTCACTGGCAAAGTGCTAGAAATTGTATGCAGCAGGGCTTAGGTTGAGAGAAGACGGTAAGCATCCCTGTAACACTGAATCAACTAACTACAAAGTGAAGTAGGTTCAGCTATGGGCCGAGATAAACTGAAGATAATGTGAGTGATCTCCTTAAAAATGGCTAATTGGGCATCTTCAAGCCACCATTAGAAGGCTGTTGGATGAGTCCTATGAAAATTGAATTGAATACTTTATTCGGCCAAGTACGATTAGACACACAAGGAATTTGTCTCTTGTGAAGAAGCTCCCAGCATACAAAGAAAGTAACAGAATAATGACCATTATCATCAACATACCAATAAGAGAGGGGAGTAAAGAAAATAAGAAGGTAATAAGAAGGATAAATAATACTACAGCCATACTACATGAGTAAATATACATAGACATTTATTTTATTTATTTTATTCAATTTATATCCCGCCCTTCTCCAAGTGGACTCAGGGCGGTGCACAGCCAGACTAAAACACGTATCGATACAAAATTTAAAATTATTAAAAGAATTAAATAACTGTGGCCCAAAAATTTAAAACATTGAAACTAAAACCCCTTTGACAATTTAAAAAGCTAAAAACTAAAAAGGGGAGGGGGTTTCATGCCAGCCCTGCTTGATGAAAAAGAAAAGTTTTTAGGGCACGGCAAAAAACCTGGAGATCCGATATCCTTCGTATCTCCGGGGGCAAATCATTCCAGAGGGCAGGAGCTGCCACAGAGAAGGCCCTCCCCCTGGGGGTCGCCAGCCGACATTGCCTGGCTGACGGCACCCTGAGGAGTCCCTCTCTGTGGGAGCGCACTGGTCGGTGGGAGGCTATCGGCGGCAGAAGGCGGTCCCGCAAATACCCGGGTCCCATGCCATGGAGTGCTTTAAAGGTGGTGACCAATACCTTGAAGCGCACCCGGAAGACCACTGGAAGCCAATGCAGCTCACGCAGGAGAGGTGTCACATGGGAGCGGCCCCTCGCTCCCATAATCCCCCGCGCGGCCGCATTCTGCACCAGTTGGAGCCTCCGGGTGCTCCTCAAGGGGAGCCCCATGTAGAGAGCATTAAACAGCATTGTGAGAATTAGATATTCAGCATAGTGATAGCTGAATGATAGAAAAAATGATGGTAGAATGATGGAAAAAGGTTTAAAAGATCTGAATGAAGAAAGTAGGATCTCGTGCAGAACTGAGGAAGGAAAATGAATGTGCATATTTGATTATGAATAAAAAGATTAAAATGTATGTCAGTATGAATTGGTGTCATCTAGTGGTGGTGGATGCATATGAAAATATAAATCCATATGTTGGTGACAGTTCATGTTACACTCTTCCAAACATCAGACCCACGGATTAGCTTTGGGGGGGAAATGTGCAATACTAAGAAAGTATGTAATCCAGATGAAAATTATTCTAACATCTAACATGAGTGGGTGGATGAGAACAAGATGACAGGGTACAGAAAGAAGTGATCAAGCTGTTCAGAAGTTCAAGAATTAATAATAACAGTAATTATTTGGAGCTTATCTACTTAGAAAAAGACTTGTTTGTTTGAATGTGTAGTTTAAGCATAAATAAATAAATAAATAAATAAATAAATAAATAAATAAATAAATAAATAAATAAATTTCTATACCGCCCTTCTCCCGAAGGACTCAGGGCGGTGTACAGCCAATTTAAAAACACAAGACACAACAATGATTAAAAATTAAAATAATTAAATAAATTTGGCTGGATTAAAACCCCAAAAATTTAAAATACCCCAATTAAAATTATTATGTTGATAGCCCGGCCTGGCGGAACAGCAGGGTCTTCAATGCGCAACGAAACACCCGGAGGTCGGAGATCTTACGTATTTCCGGGGGCAGTTCATTCCACAGGGCTGGGGCTCCCACAGAGAAGGCCCTCCCCCTGGGTGTCACCAGCCGACATAACTTGGCTGATGGCACCCTGAGGAGACCCTCTCTGTGGGAGCGGACTATAAGTCTATCCATAGATCTATATGGATAAGGATTGAATCTAAATCTAAAAATGTGATTGATTTGAGAGTTTACAAAGCAAGATCAAGAGAATTAGTGAAGATGATGAAAGGTTCCGAATGTGATAAGAGATCATTTTTGTAGAAAGGTTAAAAGTGGATCTTAGAATAGTGAAATTGGAGCGAAAGAATAACTAAAGGAAGGGAATGTCAGAGGCTGTATAAAATAAAATTAAAAGACAGATTACACAAAAAGAATGGAAAGTGTATGTAAGGAAACAGTGGGAAATGCTTGGAATAAAGTGAAAAGAATTATATTACAGAGTTCCACAGAAGTGTGTGCAGTTAAACTAATTGGAAGTTAAAAAAAGGAACTTAGTGATATCATTGAGTGAAAGAGGCAGTGAGTGAAAAAAAAATATATCAGAGGATGACGGCTGCAAAAAATAAGTATAAGGAAGAGATATATAATACGTTCTGACAGAAAAATATTGTTTATATAATATAGTCAAAGAGAACAAAGAATGGTTAAATTAAAAGCGGCAGAGAAAAAGTGATATTAGTGATAATAAGAATGGTTTTAGAAGGAGAAGCAAACTAAACAAGGAGCTTTCAGCAGAGTAAAAGGAATTAACCATAAAAGTAATGAAATTATTGGGAAAGAAGCTGAAGTGAAATTGAAATTTCATAGATTTATAGGAATGATAGTGATATGTTGAAAAATAGTACTGCAATACAGCAAATGCAATCACTTTTAAGGTCTATGGGGAAATTGATGAAATGGAAGTTTTATAAGGAGTGAGAATATGGAGAAATAGTGAGATTGCAGGTATAGAGGGTACAAGTGAAGATGTTAAAAGGTAGATCTGGTTTGCTTAAAGAACGCCTAAGCAACTTTTTAACATGTACAAAGACTATATCTGTGTTTGAAACTTGGAAAAATACCATTATTGTTTCCCTATAGAAGGGAAAAGTAGCGAGAATAAATGCCAAAATTGCAAGGAATAAGTTTTTAAGTTGAGTCAAAAGATTTTTGGCAGAATTTTGATTTAAAGGTAGGGTGAGAAAAACTTGAGAAGTATACTGTGTCTTTTATTTCAAGAAGGGAAGGGAATCAGATTTCGGCTCTTCTGCAGGTCATTGGGAAACAATGTGAGAAATAAAGCTTATTTGGTTAGGAGAATAGGCCTGAATTAGATAATATTTTGCTTGAATAAGAGAGTGAAGGTTGCTGAATGCAACAAGAGCAGTACATGAGTTGTTTAATGACAGTAATTAGGAATTTCCCTTTGCTAAGTAATGCAGTCATAAAACATGATGACACATGACTGCATCACTCAGCAAAGGAAATTCCAACAGTCCCCATTACTGTTGTTAAGCGAGGATTGAGTCATTAAGTGAGGGCATCACATGATTGTGACTTGCAACTTTCTGCCAGCTTCTAATAAGCAAAATCAATGAGGTAGCCAGCAAGAAGTCGCAAGTGAGGCTGGATGAGTGCCATGGAGTGTAGCCAAGTGACAGATGGGGTGCTGTGGTGCCACATGAGTGTGGCCAGGCAGGGGGATGCTGCGGTGTGAGTGCAGCTGGATGGGCGGGCATGCGCTATGGAGTCTGGGTGGCAGGCAAGTGATACAGAGTATGAAATCCCTGAAATCTCTGTAGCAGGCTCCTCATGAGAAAAAATGGCAGAAGCAATTTCCCAGTGATTTGGGATTTCTTGCATGCTTCCACCTTGTCTTTACTTGTGGGAAAGTCAAGTGGAGATTGCATGACCACAGGATGCTGCAAGGCAATTGCCAAGCACCCAAATCACAATCATTTTTTTTTTAATTTGATTTATATGCCGCCCTTCTCTGGAGACTCAGGGCAGCTTATAATGCATTAAGCAATAGCCTTCATACTTTTGGTATATTTATACAAAGTCAGCTTATTGCCCCCACAAACTGGGTCCTCAATTTACCTACCTTAGAAAGGATGGAAGGCTGACTCAACCTTGAGCCTGGTGAGATTCGAACTTACAGTAATTGCAGACAGCTGGTGTTAATCATAATGCTTTCAGTCTGCTGAGCCACTCTTGCGAATCATGTGACCATAGGGGTGCTGCAACAGTTGGAATTTCAAGGACTGGTTATAAGTATCATTTTTCAGTACCATAACAACTACAAATATTCGCTGAGCGAGAGGTTGTTAACCCAAGGACTATCTGTATGTTGAAAGTAAAGCATTTATGAGAACATATGGAATGCTTAGCAAATTTCTCAACACTGAATAGAGTTAGATTAGGATATGTGCTGTTCCTTTGACTGTGTAATGTATTTATTGACAACTGCTTAAAGAATGTTAATGGGTGATGTTAGAGCAATGTTGTTCGTGAGTATGATTATACAAGTATTTCTATATGAGGATGATGCTATGTTGTTGGCTAATAATCTGAATGATTTGCAGTGAATGTTAGACTGTATGATGTAACAAGGAATATGAATCTGAAAATCTGAATATGGATTAAAGAATATTAGTTGTCTTTAACAGGGAATATGGAGGAAATGATTGTAAATTGTGTTTGTCAGAAGAATCGTAAATTGAAAGCAGTAGGAATGAGTATGGATTAAAATGTGTGCTATAAAACAAGAAGTAATATGTATGGATTAATATATGTTAACTGCATGTGGATTAAATATAGAAATGAGTGGCCATAATAAAACAAATATTTCAAAGTGGTTTGGTCACAGAGAGGGAATGAATGAGGATCAAATCATTAAATGAATACATGAAGGTGAATGGATTGAAAAGAAGGGCGACACTGAGAAAAGCATGGTTGGATGTAATTGATGAGAACATGAAAAAGAGCAATGAAAAGTTTAAAAATAAAATGCAGCGTATGAAGCAGTGTATATGGATATGGTAAAAAAGTAAAGAAGACATGTAAGAATGGAAAAAGGGTATAATAATGATGTAAGTTTAGCAAGGCCTTTTTTTCTCATCTTAATTCTTTAAATTATTTGACTTCCTCCTATTTCTTATTATATTTCTTTACTCTGTGTAACATTGCTTTACTAGGATTGGTGTGCCTGAATGCATGAATAAATGCCTGCAGGCATAACAAAACTCCCCCACCCCCGAAAATATGTGTTAACTTTTTCTTGTTTCAAAACTGATACTTTGTTTCTCAAGTGATTCTTGTCTCTTCTTTCTAATATTCTTGAAAATAGGGAGAGGAAGACAGAGAAATAATTTTTGTATTTGTGGTGGGGGGTTATAAACAGGTGCTGGCAACAGATATGTCAAAACATATGAATCTTCTGGCTGATCTGAAGACAATGGTAGAGACCAAGAAAGTGACCAGCTTGGGAGTCCTGCTTTTGGATAACTACTCAGATCGCATTCAGGTAAGGCACTAAGGAGCAGGGATAAAATGGAGAAGAGCACATTTCAAACAGAGGTGTGAATTCCAAGCTCAATTCATACTTAAATAAAGTTCGACCTGAGCTCAAGATTTTGTAGCTAATTATTAAAATCATGAATGTCAAATGATAGTTCTATGGAGTCCTCTTGTTCAGAACTTAATGTTATTAACTTCAAAGAGCTTTATTAGTTAGTGTATAAAAGATGTGAATCAACTTAAAATATACTCTTAAGATCTGTCTGAGTTTGGTGCCAAGAAAAATAATAGAGAAGAGGCAGAGAAAGAAATGAATGAGGCACATACATACGCTTAATTATTAAACATTATTAATAAAAATGAAGTGCTGTAACATTAGTTGTCAAAATAAGATTTCCAATGATATTTCCTCTTTGATATGTTGATTTGTGATGTAGTTCTACTGTAAATGTTATATAATTGTTCTTCTCCACAGGTTTTGCAGAATATTGTACACTGTGCAGATCTCAGCAACCCCACAAAACGACTGGAGCTCTATCGCCAGTGGACAGACCGAATCATGATAGAATTCTTCCACCAAGGCGATCGTGAGCGGGAGAAGGGCATGGAGATTAGTCCAATGTGTGATAAACACAATGCCTCCATAGAAAAGTCTCAGGTGACACTGCTAGTAAACTTCAGGTTATAGATGGCATGGGGATGACAGCTGTTTAACTGTGGGTGGGGTTTTTGAATTTTTATGCTAAAGTGAAATAAAATACAAAGCTAAACACAAATGAATGTAAAAGCTATGTATATCAGCATAGCCATCAATAATTTTAATGGCTTCTTGAATGGAAGGGAGAAGGAGAAAAGCAAACATGGGTATGCACAGTCAGAGCATTTTGAGTTAGGAAACTTTTGCTTGTATACCTCTGGTTTTTGCAAGTGTAGAATTGGAATTGTAGGAGGAATTAGGTACAGATTTATAAAAGATAGGGCAACAAAGTGTCTGCCCTAGCATATTTAACATTCCGTGTTGTTTTTCTTCTGCCAGGTGGGATTCATTGATTATATTGCTCATCCGCTTTGGGAAACTTGGGCTGATTTAGTTCATCCTGATGCTCAGGAGATTCTGGATACTTTAGAAGACAACCGAGAATGGTATCAGAGCATGATTCCTCATAGTCCTTCACCTCCCCCAGACGCATCAGGTTTAGAGAAAAATGGAGGAGACAAATTCAAGTTTCAGCTTACTTTAGAGGAGGAAGATGGAGAAGAATCAGAGATTGAACCAGAGATTGAGAGCCCTTTGGAAGAGGATAATAGTGAATCCAAAACCTTGGGGACAACTGATGATTCAGAATCTGCAAATGAGCCATTGCCTTCTCCAACAGACAAACTGGGCAGCCCCCACAGAAACGCCCTGATCAAACAAAAGGGTGCATTGAACTTTGACAACCAAAGAACACTTTCACAGACGGATAGTGGTTCCATAGCAGATCCTGCTGAGTTAGCAAGAAGAGAGAGCCTGACTGATGTACAATCATGTCTTGACATGGAAGGAAATATCACCTTTTTGCCTCTTGGGACGTAGTGAAGGGAAGGCCCGATGATGATTACATTCTGGCAGGGCCAGAAGGGGATCACCCCAAATCTTGCTGCCAGCAACCTATGATTTCACTCCCCATTGTAAGGGAGTGTTACTATTAACATTTTCTTCCCCAAAGAAATCTGTAGCTTGAACCACATTATTTGCCCAGGTGGCGAAATATCAGAGATCAGACTATGACTGTCATGTCTTCCTTCCAGTGTTGCTACTCAGCATCTGAGTTGTACCTGGCAAATGGAAAAATTCTTCCTGCTGGACTTCTCACTATCACTAATTTCTTATTTTGGTTTCAACTTGGAAATAGTCTGTATCTTGTTTTAAGAAAGCCCAGGTGGAAATACAGCTTTTAGTTCAGTGTAAGAACAAATGTTTTGCCTGAAGATGGACACAGGTTCAGTCTCTGACATCTTTAGTCTTCTTTTTTAGAGGTTCTAGGCTGTGGGGGGGGGGGGTTCTGACTGTGATCCTGGATAACATTTTCAAGTTAGAGCAGACAGTACTGGGTTGGTTAGACAAATGGTCAGACTTTTTGTAGTCCTACACTTTCCAAGTATGCAAATTTTATTTGAGGAAAGGTTCTGTATGATCCTGCTGAAAATCAGGATAATATAGTGGGCTTGATGGACCAATGATTTGACCCAGCAAAAAGGGAATCTTAAAATGACATGCTATTGCAGAAAAAGGGGAATTGTGCAGATAAATATTATGTATGTCTCAAGTGTAACAAAACCAGCATCCTGGGAAGTTTCACATAAAATATTCAAGTAGGAGGCAGTCTCTGTAAATTTTAAATAGTTCTATCTAGTGTGATAGGATGCTATCAAGAGATACAAAATTCATCCTGCTGGATGCATTTGGCATCAAATTTCTGATACTCAAAACAAGAAGGCCTTCCTTCAGACTGCATGTTGCCTCAATCTGGTAGCTGCATTGAAAATCACCTCCTTTATATTAATCTTTTAGATACCTTTTCTCCCACATGAAAAGATTTATAGAAAGTGATAACCCAATTTCTCCAATATTCAGAAGCCCTATAGAGAAGGGACTACAGATTTTGTTTTACTTTTCCAGTAAGGGGGAAACCCTATTGTTTTAAATTATTTTTTATTTTGTGACATGTATTTCTCCATAGCAGCTGTAAAGAGTAAATAATTCATGTGTTCTTTAAAAAAAAGAGGAAAGTATTTTGATGCAGAAATAGGTAGTCAGTATTTTTAAAAATATTTAATTAATCTTCCCAGCAATTTCTAATATAAGACTACTATAGTAACTGGCAGAACTGCTTGCTATACAAGGGTAATTGGAAGTCTTGCTAATTTTCAAATTAATGGTGGGGGGGACTTCAATTTGATAATTTGTCTCTTCTGACATTTTAATCATTTGACTTTTTCCTGTGAAATCAATGTCCCACTTTGTTACAGCTTTGGGTGTGTGTGGCTTCTTTGCCCCTTTCTCCTAAAAGAAATGGGAGAAGCTATCCCAAGTGATGTGTTCATATTAGACTACTCATAAAAATTTTGTGTGATATGTACACTATTTATTTTGAATCTTTTGATCATTAACATTTCGTTGAAGAAAAAAACCTATTATTTTTAAAGGGCATTTTAACTTTTTTTTCTAAATACAAACATAGAATCATTGTTTTTTTTTTTAATAAGCTGGTTTTCTGACATTAGGGGAGAAGCAATTTATGTCGAATTGTGAAAAAAATGTGGATTTACACATTTCCCCCCTATTTTCAGTATTCAAAGAAATCTATTATTTTGGTTTTTCTGGGTTACCTGGATCTTCACTCCATGTATTTTGCAGTTCACAAAAAAAGATTGTTACCACACTGAAGTTGTTCAAATCAAGTTAGAGAGCCACTCTGTCCCTCTTATTCTCTGTATGCATTAAAGGGTCTGTCCTATTCCAGAGAACACAACTAGATAGCACTCTATCCATTGATTTTTCCCCTAGAAGGCTTAATCTGCTGATTTGAAGAGATAGATTCATTTTGTGTTTTTACAGTACTGTTTTGGGTAAATAATGCAGTTCTATGGAGTTTCAAAAAGAGACAGGGTTGGTTGAAACTGGGGAATCATTAGCCAATGCAAGTAGCAGATGAAACTTATGAATAGACAAATGAGATTTAAAGGTTCATTTGTAAAATTTTGGTGAGGCCAGATTATGATTTAAGGAGCTTAAACTGCTAAATGATTATAAAGCTAGGGTGGTACCTCCATCTACTATATTTATGTATTAGAAATCCAGGGAGGGTGCAAACGAGGATGATTCTATGCACCAAAATGATATTGTGTCTCATAATTTTTTTCCATATACTGTACCTCTTATGAAAGGCCGGTTATGCATTACTACTGGGAAGGCTACCACTTTTAATTTATTTTCAGCAAGTATTTTTTGTTCTTTTTTTAAAAAAAAAACTTTTGTAGCTTTATGCTTAATGATATTTTGATGTGTAATAACCTCACCAATGGTTGGTTCAGGCAAATTTTATTGATAGCAATTGGTTTAACTGTGATTTGCACTCAAAAATGCTGCATTATATGTGTGCAAATGTATATATGTATATGTTGAATGTTTGTTTGTATACACATGTATTTCACAATGCACTTTGAGTTTGCTGAGCTGCCACTTGGGCCTGGCCCTACAGATTGAGTTACTGTTTCTTTGTGAAATAAGTATTGTCGTAACCACAGAGAACATATTGACATTTTTATCTGATTGTCTGGTTTTCCTTACAACATTAAGTGTTTTCTGGCAACACCTTTTCTTTACATTGTATTTAAGTGTTAAAATGAAATGATTGGCTTTTAAAATTGTACTATAAATCTCCAGAGCTTGAAAAAAAATTTCAGTTCTAAAGAAATCACAGTAACGGAGCATTTGTTAGTAGGAATGATAACTACAGGAGAGGAGAGATACTGCCACAGGAGTTTAGAATGTGGAAATTGTGGATGGAGACGTGAATGGAGTTAATCCAAGATAGAAAGGTAAATCTGAGCAAAGAAATTAGAGGAGACAGGGAGGGGGAGGGAGGGAGAGAGAGATTATATAGTGATGCTTGATCAGAGTTTAGGCAAAAAAAGCAAAAAGATATGATAAGAACTGTCAGGACTTAGCCCAACTGATTCAGGAAAATTAGGATCATTTAGAACTGCAAAGGACATAATACTCTCTTCTTTGCAAACAACATTTTCTAACATCATAAGGAATTATTTTGAAAGGGTAGGGGATTGAGTGTTATAGCATGTAAACTTTCACAGTTACTGATGCAAAAATGAGTGAAGCTCTGGAAAAACAATAATGATTGTTTATTTCCCACAAGCCAGGTCCTTTTTTCCTCCTAGCAAATCCATCACTGACAAGCCTAACTCCCAAATAATGTAAATATTTAATCCCAAAGCATAAAGCTTATCTCTCATCTGTGCTTGCCTGTCTCTTGTATGTCCCTCGGTGCTCTTGATTTATACACGCACATCGTACATGCACATCTGCCTAGTTTCACAAAATACTCTTGCCTTCTTGAGGGCTTATTATGACAGTGATCCACCAACTACATTTCCCTCCAGGTCCTATTTGTTTCCTTCACAGATTACATGGTGGAATTATAAAGGAGTACTGTATAATCAAATGGCCAAGCAAGACTCAAATCAAAATTTTGATATTGGATTTTGGAAGATATTGTAAATAAGATTTAGCAAAGCCCACAGTACACAAACACACCATGAGGTTAGATGGGGATGATACATTTGCCTTTATTAAGACCTACAGATGCACTCAAAACTCTACAAAACATTTTCTGCCATATTTTTTCCTTAAGCAGATCATATGTAGGTGAAAGAAACGGAAATAATGTAAAAGAACAGAGTCATAGCAGTGGATCAGTGAATAGTGATTATTCAATTTTGGAATGCATTTGAGCTTCCAGAGGGTCTTTCAGCATATAACAAGGTGGATCTCTTCCTTATTAAATATAGGATTCCTATATTTTGCCAACACTGCAATCTGTGTGCCCCATAACTAACTTGGGAACTATACAAGTATGTTTGAGGTGTTCCCACTCTTTCTTTTTTTAAAAGTGTTATCAGTCTCAAAAAAATTCACTTTAGCAACATTCAGAAGTTTTAAAATGGTGTTATGTTGCCATCTAATGGTCACACACAGTCTTTGGGCATGCATTCACATATATCACTCCAAAGTCTTCTATTATAAATAAGTTTACAAGTAAATTTGTAGTCAACTGCAGTTGACATTCTATATTCTTAGGAGATACTGCATGTATCTCTCGCTATGATCTAACCATCCCACTGTGGTTAGGAATAATTTGGTTTTCTTATAGATGGCGATTTATGAGGCAGATGAGCTAAACCTATTAAAGCTCAGGACATAATTACAGGATTTTGCAGAGTAATGAAAGTCCTAGCAAGATAACACTTCAAAGTTTTCTAATGATATTCCTCATAACAAAACATAAACATGATAGAAGGGAAATTTTGATCCTAGTCTTCTGTATCTAGATGCTTAAAACATTTTTCGTAAGTTACTTAATGGAAAGATTGTCAGTTACAATATTTTACTGAAGAAGCACTACAGATACCATACAACATGGATGGGTTGGGCTGGGTTTTGTTAGGAGCCTTGGGGTGCAGCGATTAGTATTGTAGGTTAACTCTGCCCACAGTCTAGAGTTCGATCCTGACAGGGTTCAAGGTTGACTCAGCCCTCCATCCTTCCAAAGTCAGTAAAATGGGGACCCAGATTGTTGGGGGCAATATGCTGACATTGTAAACTGTCCATGGAGTGCTGTAAAGCACTATGGAGTGGTATATGTGTCTAAGTGCTATTTATATTGGTTTGCTTTTTCTCACTTTCCTGACCATGATTGTCTTGGCCCATTTTCACAGAAAAACCTGCTAGCATTTTCAAATACTTTTCTCATACTATATGCATTTTATACACATTTGTTACTGTAAGCATGTTAGTAAATAATTTAGTAAATAAAATACATCTGTCTATACTTTTTTCATTAATGTGTTTTAGTGTTCACTTTTTGTAATATATACATTTTATGCATATTTTTGAGTGAATTAATGAATTACATCACCAATTCAGACAAAAAAAAACCCATATAATTTGTATACATTCAACAGGTGTAAGTTTATATAAAAGTTCAGACTAGATAAATCTCTCCTAATCCTAAAACTTAACTGACTCCTCATTTCATATTGAACCTCCAATAATAATAACTCAAGCACTTTTATTGCCACTATAATCCTGGCCCTATTGCTAAATTTTTTTAGTGTAGATTGATGTAGTGGTTAAGGCATCAGGTTAAAAACCAGGGGACTATGAGTCCAAGTCCTGCCCTGGGAACAAAACCAGTGAGATGACCTATCTCAGCCCTAGGAAGGAGGCAATGGCAAACCATTTCTGAAATCTTGCCAAGAAAATTGCAGGGACATGCCCAGGCAATTACCAGGAATCAAAACTTGAAATTTGTGGGTGTGTCCTTTTAAAATTTGAAAGAACACGCACATACATTGGTAAAATGACAATAAATGAAAAATACCCGATAATGTTATAGAGGTATTGTGATATAATACTCATTTAAGTGTAATTTCATTATCATTTTAGTACTTAGAAAAAGATGGAAATGACACTGGGAAAACCAAGAGGATTACATTAGAGGGGTTTTCTTGACCCTCTATAAAACATGTGAAAATGCCACAACAGAGGTGCCAGTTCTGGAGTATAAAAATTTGGGTGATCAGGAAATAACAATAAAGAGATACAGGAAACTCCTTGCTACTTAGTATCTACTGGCTACTGCAATCTGGATAATGTAATGCAGTCTTGTAATAGCTTTAAATCTCAATAATTTTATCACGGATATCCAGTGAAGAATCATTGTGTATGACTGAAGCGTTATCAGCACTGATTTTCAAAAGGACAGTTTATCCTGTCTTAAAGGCCACATAGTGTATGTCTAGTAAATTTTAAAATGGTATTATATTCTGGAATCTGGGCTATTATTGACTGTAGTCCTTTAATAGAAAATGCTGACATATATTCAGCCTTCCAATATAGCAAATATATAACCTAATATCAGAAAGCAGTCTAAAATGTTTTCCCTTCAGATTAAACAGCATACTTTCCAAGGGGTAAAATAAATAAAAAAGAGAAATGGCTAACTCCTACATTTTTATGATCCCCAGCCCTTCCCTGCAAACAGTCATCTTGAGGTAAATCCCACCCTTGTATTTTACAGCTATGAAATTTATACACTAAAGTTATTTTGTTATTCTATTACTGAATATTGTTTCATCTTTTGCAAACATTGTAATAAGCAGATATATGCAAGCTTGCTTTTATCTTTCACCTTAAAAATCTGAGTTGTAATAACACTTTATATGCAAAGATACTGAATAATCTATAATAATTATATTACATAAAATTAATACAGGAAGTCTTCAACTTATAACCACAACTAAGCCCAAAATTTCTGTTGCTATGTGAGACATTTGTTAAATGAGTTTTGCTCCATTTTATTTATTTATTTACTTGTCGAGTACTTATTAGATAATATATATAAGTATAAGCATGAATTGAATACATAAAATGAATACAATTAAAGGGAACATTAGGACAGGGATGGTAGGCATGCTGGTGCTCTTATGCACGCCCCTTACAGACCTCTTACGAATGGAATGAGGTCAATAGTAGCCAGGCTAAGGTTAAAATTTTGGGGGTTTTGGGATAAAATCACAGAGTCAGGTAGTGCATTTCAGGCATTGACCACTCTGTTACTGAAGTCATATTTTCTGCAATCGAGTTTGGAGCGGTTCACTTTAAGTTTTTATCTGTCTGCTTGTGTACTTTTGTGGTTGAAGCTGAAGTAGTCATTGACAGGTAGGACATTGTAGCAGATGATTTTATGAGCTATGCTTAGGTCATACTGAAGGCGTCGTAGTTCTAAATTTTCTAAGCCCAAAATTTCAAGTCTGGTGGCATAAGGTATTTTATTGCAAGCAGAGGAGTGAGGACTCTTCTTGTGAAATATTTCTGGACTCTCTCGATTGTATTTATGTCTGATATGCAGTGTGGGTTCCAGATAGATGAGTTGTATTTGATAATTGGTCTAGCAAATGTTTTGTATGCTCTGGTTAGTAGTGTAATATTACCGGAGAAAAAGTTACGCGAGATTAGGTTTACAACCCTTGATGCCTTTTTGGTGATGTTGTTACAATGGGCTTTGGCACTTAGATCATTTGATATGAGTCCTCCAAGATCCTTGACAGAGTGAGGGTCATCTACAAGATCATGTCCACTCAGCTTGCATTTTGTGTTCTGATTCATTTTGCCAATGTGTAAAACAGAGCATTTGTTGGTTGAGATTTGGAGTTGCCAATTTTTTGACCATTCCGACATTTACAACTTTTCTTGCCACGTTAAGTGAATCATTGCAATTCTTAAGTTTGTAACTTGGTTGTTAAGTGAATCTGGTTTCTCCTTGTCAGATGGTCGCAAAAGTTGATCACATGACCCTGGGATACTGCAACCATCATAAATATGAACCAGCTACCAAGCATCCAAATTTTGATCATGTGACCATAGGGATGCTGCAACAGTCATAAAAGAGAAGAATGGTCATAAGTCACTTTATTTCAGTGCCATTGTAACTTCAAATGGTCACTAAGCGAATGGTTGTAAGGACTTTCTGCACATATTAATAACAAGTTGCTGTTTTTTGTTCCAGAAAATTCACAATTATGAATATGTTCAAAAGTTACAAAACAAGCTATGGCAGCAAATAGGACAGCGAATATTCATGTCTTGCTTCATGGAACCAGTTGCTCACTAGAATTTTTGGGTGTTTTGGGGATCTTGGTCATGTTTTCGAGATGAAGACATGAGGTAATAATATCAGGAGCTTCCTCATGTTTTATTTGTGTATTCCCAGGAGTTATGTACTTATTGCACACAATATATTTTATTGAGGGCAGATAATAAATAGTGTTAATATTTTGCTTTCACGCAAGGGAAAATATAAATAAGTAAAGCACAGGTAGTCCTCAACTTACGACCACAATTGAGCCCCAAAATTTCTGTTCTTAAGTGAGACACTTATTGAGTTTTACTTCGTTTTACGACCTTTCTTGCCACAGCTGTTAAGTGAATCACTGCAGTCGATAAGTTACTAACCTGGTTGTTAAGCGAATCCGGCTTCCCCTTTGACTTTCCTTGTCAGACGGTCGCAAAGGGTGATCACATGACCTTGGGACCACACACAGCAACGGTCATAAGTATGAACCAGTTGCGAAGCATCTGTATTTTTGATCACACGATCGTGGGGGGGGGGTTGTAAACTGTGAGAAAATGGTCATCAGCCACGCTTTTCAGCGCCGCTGTTAACTTTGAACGGTCACTAAACGAACTAAGGAAATAAATTCCACCTCAAGATCACCAGGTAGCGCCTCCTAAAGAGAAAGAGAGGCAAAATGAAGGCGGGATATATTTCGGTGTGTGTGTATGTGTGCATGTGTGTGTGTGTGTGTGTGAGAGAGAGAGAGAGAGAGAACTGTAAGTTCGAATCTCGCCAAGGCTCAAGGTTGACTCAGCCTTCCATCCTTTCTAAGGTAGGTAAATTGAGGACCCAGTTTGAGGAGGCAATAAGCTGACTTTGTATAAATATACCAAAGTATGAAGGCTATTGCTTAACGCATTGTAAGCCGCCCTGCGTCTCTGGAGAAGGGCGGCATATAAATCAAATTAAAAAAAAAAAAGGAAATCTCAAAGGCTTTAGCAACGCTTACTCAGAAGTCAAATCCCTCCGTGAGGTAAAATATTACACAGCCTAATCAATCACCGACGTGTCGCCAATCCCCGAGACGACAACTCCTCGGGCCCGCCCGCAGGAAAACCGGAGGGGAAAAGGGGAGGGCCCTTTGCGAAGTCACGTTACACCCCCCCTCATCTGCATATCCCCGCCCCCTTCGGAGCGCTGGTGACGTTGGCCAGGGATCTGCAGGCAGGTGCTGTTGCCTCGCGCCACTGCCGCCGCCGCCGCCGCCGCCGCTGCTGCATTTAGCTAGGAGATCAGAAGCGCGTTCACGGGGTGAGTGCGCTCCCGGTGCAATTCCCCCCCCCACCCCTCTCGTCTTTTATTTTTTTACCTATAAATCTTTTTCTAACCTAGATAGATGACCCCTTTCCTCTGGATTGCCTCTTTTTCATTCGGTTGGCATTGCTTTGAAACAGGGTGGCGCGACGGCTTGGGAGAAAGAGTGGGGTGGGGGGGCAGGTAGTTAACCTTCATTTGACACATGTATGACAGGTGGGGGGGAGGGGTGCAGAAAATAAAGGGGGGAGGGATGCTGGGTTTATATAGGGAGCCGGGGTGGGGGAAGCGTCGTTCGATCGAAGGATCTATGGCGGTGGAAGGAATGTCGCTGATTATTTTCTTTTCTTTTTTTCCAAAGGGAAAGGTGTTGTTGTTGTTTTTTTAAAAAAAAAAAATAAAATAAAATAGATGGCACTGGAATGAAACGGGAGATGGGCATTCATTCGTGGGCCTCGTCAGAGGAGGTTTCAGTGATGCAGATGGTAAACAGGAGGCTCGGGAAGAGAGAGAACGGAGGGGATGGGAAGGGAAGGGAAGGAGGCAGCATCGCAGGTTGCAAAGGGAGCCAGTTCCGGCTCAAGTGCTGTTCCTCATTCAGCTGGGCCTTTCTTGCAAGAGATGGATTGGGCTGGGAGAGGTGGGGAGGGGAGGAGAAAAAGAGGGGGCATTTCGTAATAACAGCTCTTTCCCTCCAGGCAAAACAACTCTTTCCTCCCCCCCCCAAAGCTTTTCCAAAGGATCTTCAGGATGCAAATTTGTCAGCAAGATCAGCTTTATAATACTTGACTAGAGAGGTTCTTTTCCTTCCTTTGAACCCCTCCCCAAATGCCCCATGTAGTTTTGGGGATCAGCACTTTGGGAACTTCTCCTTTGAAGTGCCCCCCCCTCCCTGCTATTGAGCAATT